AGGGGCTCCCCAGCCCCTATAGGATGTCCCCTGGGTTAGTGGCTAGTAGCACTCCTGAGAACCAGTGGACTGGAGAGCCTGTAGCAGTAGCAGCATCGTGGGGCTTCTCTCCTGCTTCAGAGCAGAAAGCCAGACCAAACTCTCCGGCCTTTCTGCAGACTGCGAGGCGGTTTGCCCTCCTCCCCCTTGCAACAGAAGACCCATTTCCTCCCTGGCATGTCTCCTGTCCCACCCCTACCCTCCACCAACACAGAGTGCCCCTCTTTGACAGACACAGCGCCCTGCCACAATCCCTGCCGCAAGCTCTGCTTGGTGTTCTCAGCTGTCTTCTCCAAGCAGCAGCTTCTCCATCATTCCTACCACTCACCCACCCTCTGTTTGCCTTGCTGCCCAGGCCACTTCATGACACCTACCTATCCGTATCTCTTTCTGGAGCGGAATGCCCAAGCACCTTCCGGCCCAAGGACGCTGCTAACGAGCTGACGGTAATGATCCTATTCTTGGCTGTGAGGTTGACAGGAGACCTGGATGAACCAGTGCCCAAGAACTGCGGGCAGGAGGCAGGGTCCGTCACGGCCTGCCAGCAAGCCGGCTGCAGGGCACCGTATCTCAGCGGGGAGTAGCCAAAGGCTAATGTCAGTGGCCAGCGTCAGCACTGCAGGTCCAGCTGTCCTGGCCACCCACAAGGCCTGGTGGCCTACTAAGTGTGCCCTGACCCTGACCTCCACCACCTGCCTTCACCTGGGCAGTTCCCTCTCCGCAGCCACTGAGGCTACAGTCATCCCAGCCCAGGCCGGCCTTGCAAGCCCACGCCAGCTCTTGCTCCTGCCTGTGCTGGGGGCACAGTGCCAGCACTGCCCTGGCTCTCTCTGCAGAGCTGCCCTCGCTGCTCAGCTGCAGCCCGCCACCAAGGCAGGCTGTGGGACGTCTTCCCTCTCACAGGTATTTGGCAGTCCTCTTCGTCGAGAGGACGAACTTCATCCTCACCATCTTGGAGGGCATGACACCCCAGGGTCTCCGACAAAAAGGTGGTTGCCCGTGTGTTGGATATGATCACAGACTCAGACATGGAGGAGGTTAGCAGTTTGCAGACAAATTGCCCTGTGCTGTTGCCCTCTCGGGGGCCGTTCTCCCTGGCCCGGGTCCAGGGCTTGGGAGTCCCCGACAGCCATTCGGGCTGGCAAAGAGCCACAGGAGGGAAACATTTGCTGGTGGCAGCTGGGGCCATGGCTGTGCTCTGCTCCATTCTCCTCGTCTCTCCTCCAGGTGCCAGGGTCATGCGGATTCCATGACTGCCTGGCGACGGTCAGAAAGGAATCACTCCTGGACATCCTGAAGAGGACCCTTTTCCAGATCACCTCCTTGCACCCTGGGCACGCGGTCCAGGGCCTGCTGGAGGTCTTCCCGTGGTGCGACAGGTACAGGGCCCACCCACCCACCTCTGGCACAGCTCAGGACCCTCAGGCACAGGCCAAGGGGCAGTGGCTGGGGTGGCCCCATCGACTGCATGCTTTGTCTCTGCAGGGTTGCCACCATGTGGCAGACGATGGTCTCCGAGCCCTGCGTTGCAGAGGACGTGCTGAGAAACCTGCTGAAGCAACGCATAGGGCCTGAGCACGATGTCTTTGGCTCACCCCACAGCTGTGTCCGTTCCTGGGCTGTGAGTTCCTGGACCAGGCCTCGCTCACCCCCAGTGGGGCTGCACTCCCCTCCCCATCCCTCCTCCCCTCTTCCTCTGTCCCCAGTCGACAGCCTCCCCTGGGGCTCCCCAGTCAGGGGGCTGGGAGCCAGAGCCCAGCAGGGCCACATGCACTGCTGGGGCCCCACTGCGCACAGGCACGCAGCCCACCCCTGCCCTGCCGCTCTCTGTCCTCCTCCCTCCCCGCCTGCTCCTGCCTTGCTGGGCAGCCCCGTGCAGGGCGGCTGCCTGGCCCAAGCAGGCTGCAAGGTTTGGCCCAGGGAGCTGAGGACAGCTGGCAAGACCCCTGGGGCCTGCTGGGCCTTTGCTCTGGACACAAAAAGCTGGCTTGCCCATGCCACAAAGCAGAGCCGAACCCAGGGAGCCGCTGGGACTGGGCCCCAGGCCAGGCAGCCAGGCAGCGGGCTCAGAGCGACGCCTCACCCCACCTCCCTCACCCCCCAACCCGCAAGCTCTGGCAGTGCTGCAGGGACACCCGTGCACTGAGAGCTGCACCTGACTGTTTTCTGCAGGTAACCAGCGCCATGAACAAGATCTTCCAGCTGCCCTCCAGCAAGAACATTGCGCTGTTACTTTTCCACAAGCTCTACATTGCCGTGCTCTTCCAGATCTCCTTCATCCATGAGTGCACACTGCAGGACTTCAGCAGCGGCAGCAGTCAGATGGGGGAGTGCGTGTGGCCTTCAGGCAGCTTTCTCAGGTGCTCCATCCCTCTGCCAGGTCTGTGCCCCAGGCCGGAGCCAGGGCCGGGCGCCACATGTGACGCGCATTATGCTCTGCATGCAGGACTGCGGTGATGACCATGAGAGCTCTTTTCCAACACCTGGGGGGTGCCACTTTGGTTGAAGACATCCAGATGCAGGGTGGCTGGGACAGGCTTTTAAGACATGAGACCTTCCACACAGGTGTTGCTGTGCTGACTAGGTGAGCGCCTCATCAGTTGTCCTTGTCTCCCCTGGCACTCTTCCCCCAGAGGTGGGTCCCCTTCCTCGTGGCTGGTGAGGTGTCCCCAGGGGTCCGAGGGACAGCGTTGGTGACTGAGGGATCTCAGGAGAGACCGGCAGGGGGAGTGGCCTCTTTGATCTTTAAGGTCCCTTCCAACCCGAGCCATTCTATGATTCATTCTATGATTTCCATGCTGCTGCCTCTGAGAGCTCCTTGGTGAAGGGCTGCTGTTGCCCAGTGCAAGAGGAGGACTCGCAGGACCTGTCACCTTCCAACGCACTCCTTCCTCGGGGACCAGCGGTGCAGGAGAGTGCTGGGGCTGGCTCTGCAGGCAGTGCCACAGCCTGCACTGGAGCTGTGTGGCAGAGCAGCCGGAAGGGTGGCCAGAGAGCGCGGGAAGGCTCAGTGGCCTGGGCATCCAAAGTGGTCAGGAAATGGCATCTGTTGGAAGGCCACAACTTGTGTGTAGGCAGGGCGTCTCTCAGTGAATCGAGCACATCTGTGCTCGTCACCCTCCATGTTTGCAAAGGCAAGGTACATGGTGAAGGGCGGGCGGCCTCTCCTCAAGCGGATGGCACCAGCTGCTGAAGCAGAGTGCAGAAATGCAAGCCTTGCCCTGGTCTGGCCCATGGGATAACAGCTAGCGCTGACAGCACAGTCCCAAGGAGGTTTGTTTGCCCGGCTTGGTACTAGCAATGCGTTCTTCCCTGGCCAGGGCTCTGGGAAGCAAAGCACCGCTCTTTGGTGCCTCGGTGTTTGAAGAGGCAGTCGTACGTCTCTGGCAGAGACAGAAGCATGAGGAGATCACCGCCATGGCTGTCTTCACGGAGGTAGGGCCTAGCAGCAAGCGGTGCCTCTCCAAGGTGCCTTGAAACTCTGGGCTCTCTGGCAGATTCAGCATGCTGCCAGGAGTCCTGCCGGCTGGGCCAGGCTCTCACTGGGCTGCGTGTCTTTCAGTTGCTGGACTGTGTAGACTTTGAGCAGCTTGTTGATAACTGCATCCCGCACCTTCTTCATTCAACCTGCGCAGTCAGTCCTCGGTGCTGCGTAGGATGGCGGTTACAAGCCTCGTCACGCTGTCTACGAGACCCAAGCTGGTGAGTGGGGGCATCTGGGCCAAGTGGCGGCATCTGCCTGGGGCTGGGCTGCAGGTGCTGTTGCCCGCAGAGGCTTGCTTGGACTTTGCCAAGAATCGGGAGGGGCGGTAGTGGCTCCACTGCCCTCACTGCCTTCTTCATCAGCCCCTGAGCGCTTCTGGGCAGCCCCTGCCTGGACTGTGCAGCACGAGGAGAGCGGCACCAGTGTCCGCTCAAAGGCACCTCCTGCTGTGCCAGAAAGAGGTCAATGCCAGGCCCCAGGCCAGCCAGCGCAGGGCTGCCTCAGCTGCAGGAGCACTCTACCCAGAGCAGTCATCCTGCTGAGGTTGGGAAGATGAGCCCCCGCACGGGGCCAGGCTGACACAAGTGGCTGCTTCTGCAACCCAAGGCAGCAGCCTTCTGTCTCGAGGGGCCTCAGCACGCTGCTGGAGACAGACCTCTGCTCTGGGCTGTGCCTGCTGTAAGCAAAGGGCTTCTGCCAGGATGGTCTTCGGTGTTTCTGAAACAGAACTGCTGTGTTTCATGTAGGCAGTAACTCTGCAAGACCTGCTGCCAGAGGTCATGCAGCAACTGCAGGATGCCAACAGCGACATCAATATGCAGGCCATGACTGTCCTCCGCAACACTCTGCGCCTAGCAGATGGGCAAGTGGCTGGCCCCATCGCTCTGCAGCTGCCTGACAGGCTCCTGCCCCTCTTTGACAACGTAAGTCTGGTGGGCAAGCAGGAGGTTTGGCCACGGGGCACGTGAGTGTGGCCTGGGGGTGGTGCGTCCCTCTCCACGTGTCTCTCTGGCCTGTGAGACACGATCCCTGGGCACGTGCTGGAAACGTTTTGCTTGGTGCTTCTTGGGCTCTCCCGCTGGGGCAGCCCCTCCCTGTGCAGAGCCCTGCGGATGTGTGCTCCACAATGGCAACTTCTCCTCGGCCCCTCGCTGCCCATGGCCGCTTCTCCCCTTGCCATGTGTCCCCTTGCCAGCCCCAGGGTGGACCATCTGCAACCCACTGCCTTGCCCTTCCTGTGTCTTGAGCCATTTTGCACTGCCCACACACTTGGCCTACCTGCCACAGCTCACTGCAGAGTGAGAGCCAGGAGCGTGTGTCTCCCTGTCTGCCACACCGACCCCTTGCTCACTGTGAGCTCGGAAGAGCCTGGACTGAGGTCCTCCCTTGTTCTGTCTCACCAGGAGTCCAGCTGCATGAGAGAGCTCTCCATCCTTCTCTGCAAGGACGCCATGGAGGTTGCAGAGGGCACCCATAAGATGGAGATGAAGAAGCAAGTGCACAGGACCGTCCCCCCTCTTCTTCCACCTGCATGACCAGAACCAGCATGTGGCTGAGGTGGGGACACTAAGCTGAGCATTCACTTGAGGGGGCAGCACCCCTCAGGAGGGCCTGCCTGAGCATTAGGGGCACGGGCCGTTAGCAAGGCTCCCTCTGAATGTGCCTCACCTCAGGGCCGAAGCTCCCGAATCCAAAAGAAAGGTGCAGAGCCCCTCTGTGCCTGCACCAGGCCCACCACAGCCATTTTGCCCCTACTACGCCTCCGCCTGCACAGAGGGCCAGAGCGGAAGGGCCTCTCCCTGCCCCACATCCAGCGCCGCATGCAGCCCTCCACAGAAAAGCCCGCTGGGAGGCTTCCTGCAGCCCCAGAGCTGTCAGGGGCCAAGAAGGTGGGCACGGACATTTTCCAGACCTGCCCTGCCTGCTCCCAGCTGTGCTCAGCAGTGCTGCGTAGCCACAGATACCTAGGCACTAGAGTTTTCACGGGCATCCCAGCTGTGCCTGCAGGTGTCTGAGGCCAGTGGTGAGGTGCCCAACAGTTGTCGACCCCATGTTATGCACAGGGACCCGCCAGATGCCTAGGCTGAATGCTCCTTTGCTCTCTTGGGCACGAGCACCCTGGAGCCGCCAGCGTGCTCACTGCAGAAACCCTGGCCTGCAGGCTGCCCTGGGCCACGCAGAAGGGTGCAGCCCCTGCCAGGGGTTGCAGGAGCCAGCATGGCTGCCAGCCTCACCAGCCTGGGAAGGGAGCCGCAGCCAGGGCAGGGGTCTGGCCCTGTGTCCGCGGTGGCGGGCTCTGGAGCAGCCCAGGCCCTAGGGAACAGCCTGCTGGGGTCCCCGTGCGTGGTGTCCCTGGCTGCCTCCTGCCCTGGTGCCTCAGTGACTGCAGCGCTTCAGCTGCCTGCTGGCCTTGGCTGCAGATGAGCAGCTCTGGGGGACCTCTGTCCTGCAGCCCCAGCAGCATGAAGTGCCGAAGCTGGTGGTTGCCCCACACCACTGCCCGAGCACCGAGCCCTCTGGCAGATGCCTTCCCCAGCTGCTGCACCTCCCCAGCAAGGGCCAGGAAAGCCCCCAAGCCTCGCCAAGGTGCGGGACAACCAGGGCCTGTCCCATGCGCAGTGGTTTCATCTCCCACTCTCTGCTGCTCTGCAGGCCTCTCGGGAAGCCCTCCTTGGTGCTGCCAAGCTCCTGAAGTGGAAGCAGCTCAGGAACCTGCTGGAGACAGCGCAGCCACAGAGGATTGGCGAGTGCCTGGTAAGGACAACTGCCCGAGGGCTCCCAAAACCTGGCCCAGACAAGGCCTGCCAGCCCTGGCCCAGGGTGCGGGGTGGCTACCCTTGCCTCTAGCCACTGCTGCAGGCCAGAGCCCCCAGCCTGCAGCCGTACACGCACCCCTACCCCCACGCCCCGGCACGTAGCAGTACAGGCTCTTCGACAGCCTCGTCGCTCTCCCAGGTCCCAGGCATACCGACAGCTGACCCTTGGCAGCGGGTGGCACCTCAGCACCCTGCCCCTTGCTCCCTCCAAAGCCTGGCCCCAGCAGCAGCTGGCTGCTGGTTGGGCATCAGGCTATCCCAGCAGGGGAAGCCAGTCCCACGTACAGGGCCGGCCTGGCCAAGGGGCAAGGCTGCACCAGCCCCATCCACATGTACTATTCTCTTCCAGCTGGTGGGGCACAGCAGCAGAGTGGATGACTACCTGTCCCAGAGCCTGCAATACCTGCGGAGCCCCCAGGAGCCCCTGCAAGAGGCGGCCATCAGGTTCATTGGTGAGTCACAACCCCATGGGCCCTCTGTGCCCCACAGCAGCTTGGCCGCAGCCCCAGCTGCTGCTGAATCAGCCACGTGGCTGCAGAGCATTGCCGGCTCAGAGTGGGCCTGGAGTGCCTGTGGGGGCTCCCTGCTGCCCTCGCCCACACCCTGCCCACGCAGTGGTTGCTGGTGGGAAGCCTAGCAGGTGCCTCGCAGCCTCCTTGGGTGTTGTCACACTTGGGCACACATGGCCAAGCCGGCAGGGATGTTGAGGGGGGGACTGTGTCTGGGGCGAGCTGGCCAGCGGGATCTGTGATGGGCTGTGTGTACCTAGGGCTTGCCGGGCAGCACTTGGTGGATGGGCGCGAGGAGAAGCTCAAGATCATCGAGGGTGAGTGAGGGCAGTGGGGTATCAGCAGGAACTGGCTGGGAGGAGAAAAGACCCTGGGCAGTGAGCTGCGACCCCTGCCCCAGCTGAGGAGGTGGGTGGCCTTGGCAGGAGGGGTTCCTGGGCGTGCTTCCCAGTGATACGGGCTCTGACCTCCACTCTGTTCCTTTCCATGTCAGCCCTGAGAAGCATGGAGGGCAACAGCAGCCCTTCGGTCTCCTCCCTGGTGACTGAAACCATCCTGGTCCTGAGAACTTCCTCCACATTCAGCCTGCAAGCACTACGTTACCGGCTCCGGAGGGTGTGGGAGAGGAGGCCCCGTGTCCCGAGAGCTGGCTGGCTACGCTGCTGCAGCTGTGCTCAGTGCTGAGCGCTGCTCCAGCCCTCGGGCCCCACCGAGTAACCCCTCTGCTGGACTTTCCCCAAAGAAAGAGCCCTCTTTCTTCACCGCTTGAACGTGTCAATTTTTTGTGTGAAAACTGAACGGTTAGAAAACACCTATTAAAATTGGATTCACATTCCCTCAAGAATCCTACTTTCAGTTTTATTATTGGTCGAATTCCTTCCCTATCTTCCTGCTTTAGAGCATACTGCTCGATCCTTACTGGCTTCTTTCCCTCCTTGAGTCGAATCTCAACACGTGGGGCATTTTTAGCTCTCCCAGGTACATCAGTAGCCCATACGCCTGGGTATACCTGGTTTACGACTTCTTCATTAACTTGTCCTTCCACTGGAAGGTTGACTAGGGCTAAACTCATTACCTGTATATATTGCTGATCATTTACCTCCAGAGTAATCTCCCTTTTTCAAATTTTATTACTGCTCCTAATTGCTCTAATAAATCTCTACCTAAGAGTGCCCTTGGGAGTTAGGCATATATAAAAATCTGTGTATGCCCCATTGTTTCCCTAACTTGTACTTCAAAGGTTGACAAAAATAAGCCTTTTCAGGTTGATCGGTTGCACCTTTTACCCTAACACAATCATTCCCTAAAGGCATTAATGCTTGATTTAGAACCGAATATGTTGCCCCCATACCAATAAGAAATTTCACTTCTGTTCCTCCCCTATCTTCCTAATAACCAGTGGAGGATCCGCTAGGGTAGATTCCTGCCAAAATCAGGGGCTGATTACCCTAGGAAAAGGCTAGTCAGTTTGTTCTCTGAATCCGAGAGATCTGGGTCCGAATCTTTTTTTTTTTTTTTTTTTTTTTTTTCCATTACATTTCAAAGTTGGTCCAAAATTTCCATGGGGTTTTCTTTTGGACCTTGTTGGAAGCATATTCTCAATTCCCAATTCAAACAGATTCGAGTATTAACTTAACTTCATAATTTTCGGGATGATTAGGGTCTCACTGGGGTCGCTCAGGGGAATGCAATTGTCAACAGTTCCCTGAGCGGTCCCATTGGCAATCTGAGCTTGCACTTGAACTCAGGTTGTTTGAAGAGTTAACTGCTTTTCTGTTTCCATAACAACTCTCTCTGGGACCCATCATGACCTCTTTGCCCCAGAGGGCTAACACCTGTGATTTTGAGATCTCAGCCTGGGGCTGAGACAGAGCTTTTAAAATTCCTACACCTCTTTCCCTGCTCATTCAACTTTAAACACCTTTAACACCTTCAACAACTTTTAGCATCCTGTACTTTTCTAATGCCAACACCAAAGGCTCAGTCAAGGGCCGATTAACTCCACTCCTTTTCTCTCTAAGATGCTGAAACAACATATCTGTATACTACATTTCATCCTATTTTCCTTCTCTCCAAAAAGGACTTTATTGACTGTAATAAAGGACATATTGACTGTAATACGGTGTTATAATTAATAGTTCCATTTTGGGGCCACTCCTCTCCAGCCTCTAGTTTATAAAGTGGCCACCACTGATTACAATATTTGATAACAGTTTTTTTACTCTCTGGCCCCCCTCTTCCCACTATATCCCTCCAATGTGTTAGTATACATTCTAGGGGCCTTTTCCGTGGGATTGCTTTGCTTTGGCCTTTTCCCATTCTAATCCATAGCAGTTAATATTCCACCATTTTCCTAGGAGCTCTTTACTAGTCAATCCCAATCCCTCCAAAATCCACAATATATAGAGATACACAAGTAAAATCAGACCACTGTAAATTAACTGCCTGTAGACAATTACACTGAGGACATTTAAACCCGACGAGCAGATAATATGCCTGGGCAAATTTCGTTCCCTTAGGCATACACCTCAATGGCAGTTCTTATATTATATTTACATATTCACATATGTCCTGGTTTCAGTTAGAACAGAATTAATTTTCTTCCTAGTAGCTGGTGGAATGCTGTGTTTTGGCTTAGGATGAGAAGAGTGCTGATAACACCCCGATGCTTTAATTGTTGCAGAGCAGTGCTTATACTAAGCCAAGGACATCTCAGCCTTTTGCTCTGTCCTGCCAACGGGCAGGCTGGGGGTGCAGTAAGAGCTGGGAGGGGACAGACCCAGGACAGGTGACCCAAACTAGCCAAAGGGGTATTCCATACCATCTGACGTCATGCTAAACAGTATATAGGGGTGGCTAGCCGGGGGGAGGGGGCCGGACTGCTCGGGGTTAGGCTGGGCATCGGTCAGCGGGTGGTGAGCAATTGCATTGTGCATCACTTGTTTGTACATATTATTATTATTTCCCTATTATCACCATTGTATTATTATTGTTATTATTGTTATTATTATTTTGTTATTATTATTTTCCTGTCTTATTAAACTGTCTTTATCTCAACTCACGGGCTTCACTTTCCATTTCTCTCCCCCCGTCCCAGAGAGGGAGGGGGGAGGGTGAGCGAACGGCTGCGTGGTGTTTAGCTGCCGGCCAGGTTAAACCACGACAACATATTAACATATGTTTAAAAGAACACTTCAACAAAAATGCCCGGGCCTTTACATATACATCATACAGTTATTATTCCAGTTAGAATTCTTCCCCAGCACCTGCAAACATTATGCCAGTTACCATTAAAGCTCGCCTACCCTCCTCCCGTCTCTTCTATGATCTTCAGGATGTTCCTTGTGGTTCCTAGAACCAGGGTATGGCAGCTTCTACTCAAAACCCCTTTTGGCCGCTCTACTGGCCACCTCCCAGGACGCCCTCAGGGTTCGTGTCGCATGCTAGACATCTCTATGTGGCTTATTGACCTCCCCGGCCAATTGGCTTACCTTAATTAAGGTGTACCGTTTGCCCGCAACCACAGGAACTTCCTATATCCCTGCAGTGAGAGGCTGGGAGAGGAACTCCTCCGAGAGAGAAAAAGGGGCTCGGGGCGTGCCTAGGAGGTCCGCTCCACAGTCGATCCTGCAGCCAGAGTCCTCCTGCCAGGCTCGCCAAACTCATGCGCAGAAAAGACTCTATAACCATAGGGTTGTGATCCTGGGGTGTCATGGCATACCGCTACTTGTGTTTGGGGAGCTGGTCAGAGCACCCACCTCCATTTCTGTTTATGGTGGCTGAGTTTGTTCAAGTAATCCCTGACTTGATACCTGTCCCCTGCTGGTGGTTCTACGGAGTCCTGCCTTTAGGCACAAAGACCAGCCCTTCAGAAACCCAAACCGGCTACTTCTGATCCCTCCTTTGTCCCGCATGTCAGCTGCAGCGCCTTCCCTGGCCCTGGCTCAGCGCTCATGACAGCAATGGCTGACATCCCAGGAGAAGCCAGCCCACTCTCTTTGGGCACTACACTCAATGCAGGACTTGCTCACTGTGGCCCCTCCAGCTCTCTCCCCACTCCCGGTGCAAGGACGGAGTGAGAGAGCAGCGGTGTGGTGCTCAGCTGCCACTGGGGTTCAGCCACAGCAGTCCTTTTGGGCAGCCAGCGTGGGGCAACGAAGGATTTGAGATAACAGCATCACTGGCAATCACCTGATTTTCATCTACGTGGAAGCAAGCAGCTCCAACACAGCCGTGTACCTACTGCTCCATGGGATGCTACTATGCGTCATAACCCCTCATGGTTCTGAACTACCCCTGCTGGTAAGGATGTGACCTCCTGTAGCACTGAGGTGATAGAATCTGCCGGAACATTAGTAATTTGCTCCACTGTAGCGGACGTTTAGCATAGCATGTTGTGTTAAAGGCTAAGGAAGCTTGGCAGGACCTAAACCCCCTTGCGTTCCAACTTCTCCTCAGATATCAGAGGGGCTGGGGGTGGCTGGGTTTGGATTCTGAGCGATGCCCTGTCTGGAACTATAAATCCGGTTGTATTCAATAGACTAAATTATCGTGATCATGGATGCACATATCGTGTAATACACTTTCAGTCTAGTAAATGACTGGTGTAGTTTATTGGAGCAACACGAGCACAGGTTCTTTTGGATTGCCGGTGATGCAAAGCACGTGCAAATACCAAGAATATGACTAACACAACCAGCTGCATATACGTTAACTTGTGGAACAACTCTATAGAGAATGTTAGGTTTCCCAGGGAAGCACTCGCTGTAACTGAGGGTTCAGATCTCGCCCTGTAGGCATCCCTGTAGGGGGGAAGAGAGGTTCAGCACAGCAGCCTTCGGCTGATGCCAGGAGTCAGCGACGTCCTCCCGACTTGTCTGTGGTGGTGTCTTCCCCGACATTTTCCTCTCTTGAGCCCTTTTTTTACTATGTCCTTGCTTTTAGGTAGTGAGTGACTCAAGTCATATGCGCCTTTGTTGTCACTGGTATACATTTTCCTGGCTTTTGTTTTTGCTCAGGGAAATTCAGAGCGCGTGCTCAGTGAGAGGTAGTTTGCACCTTGGAGGCGGGTAGCCTTGGGGATGGAGGTGTATTTTGGCACTGTAGTGAGATTATAATGAGCAAAGTTCATCCAGAGGACATGAGTAGGTTGTCAGTTAGACTCAGGGCTGGCCATGCAATCTATCAGTTCCGTACCATCAGGCTCACTCTAAAATCGCACTGTTCCTAGCAAAATGGCCCAAGGCCCAGGAAGGCTGAGGCGGTGGGTTGCTCTAACACGCTGCGGCCAGGGAAGCAAAAGCTTTCCTTCCTCTTGGTTTCACAGCCTAGCAGAGCAGCTTGGTGCCGTGGAGTTTTCTAACCGTTCAGTTTTCACACAAAAAAATGACACGTTCAAGCGGTGAAGAAAGAGGGCTGTTTCTTTGGGGAAAGTCCAGCAGAGGGGTTACTCGGTGGGGCCCGAGGGCTGGAGCAGCGCTCAGCACTGAGCACAGCTGCAGCAGCGTAGCCAGCCAGCTCTCGGGACACGGGGCCTCCTCTCCCACACCCTCCGGAGCCGGTAACGTAGTGCTTGCAGGCTGAATGTGGAGGAAGTTCTCAGGACCAGGATGGTTTCAGTCACCAGGGAGGAGACCGAAGGGCTGCTGTTGCCCTCCATGCTTCTCAGGGCTGACATGGAAAGGAACAGAGTGGAGGTCAGAGCCCGTATCACTGGGAAGCACGCCCAGGAACCCCTCCTGCCAAGGCCACCCCACCTCCTCAGCTGGGGCAGGGGTCGCAGCTCACTGCCCAGGGTCTTTTCTCCTCCCAGCCAGTTCCTGCTGATACCCCACT